ATCGCATGCTGTGGGCTCAGCCCCACTGTACAGTGAGGAAGAGCTAACAGAGGGCGGTCAGGAACGGGGGGAGAGACATCGGCCTTTTCAGCAGCCAGGCGAAGAAGTACTGGCGAGAGAGTGGCTCTGTAGCCGGTCTAGAGACAGGTCTGTCTCCTGACCCAGACGCAGCCGAGGGGGCTAGTAGTGAGGCGGAGACCGTACCTGATGATGAGGAGGTTGATCGCACTTGGCTGCCTCGTCGTCATCAGGCAATTTCTTCCGCATCATCAGGAGAAGAGGGTGCCAGCTTGGCAGCGAGCGAAACAGTCGGTGGGTTGCCCAGGAGGCAGCAGGGTCGCATGGGCCCATCAGTGTCAGTGGAGCCAAACGGCCACGGAGTAGAGCACCAGCTCCACTGCAGCCTACCACCACGGCCAGTAGTGGTGCCGGTGCGCACGGAGGAAGTAGCAGTCAGCCAGTGAGGAGTAGCGGGGGCAAAGTTTTACTACGGGTGGTGGCAATTTTTCGTCAAGCCGCCCCGAGGAAGTAAAGGAAGTCAGGGACAGTACATGTCATTTACGGCCCACTGGGTGAACGTGGTGCCGGCACAGCCGCGCACCAGCAACTTGACAGGTCACGACGCTTTTGCCTCCACGTTTGCACGTCCTTGGTCCAGCAAACATGTCCGCCTCTACCACCTCTTTTTCCGCCGTGTCCTCAGCCGCCACCCCCGTGCCAAGTCCCATTACCCGACCGGCATATCACATGTGCAGGGCGCAACGGTGTCACGCTGTGCTGCACCTGGTATGCCTTGGCGAACGTAGTCACACAGGGGAGGAACTTCTGAGTGTAATGAACAGAGAAATCGACAGATGGCTGTCTCCGCGCAAACTTAAAATCGGAACCATGTTGACCGACAACGGAAAGAACATGGTGTCTGCTCTGCGTCAAGGAAGGTTGTGCCATGCGCCATGCATGGCTCACGTGTTCAATCTGGTTGTCAAGCGGTTCCTAAAATCCACCATCCCACTGCAAGACATCCTTAAAATGTCACGTAAACTGTGCATGCATTTCAGCCATTCCTACACTGCAAAGAACACCCTCATTGAGCTGCAGCGGCAGAACGGAATTCCACAGCATCGCCTGATCTGCGACGTTGCAACAAGGTGGAATTCAACCCTACACATGTTAGACCGCCTTTACGAGCAGCGAAAGGCCATCACCGATTTCCTGATGTTACAAGCGGATAAAGGTACTCCCCTGTGTAACTTAGATGTCAGCCATTGGCAGCTCATGCGTGACACCTGCCGCTTGCTCAGGCCCTTTGAGGAGGCCACGCTATTCGTGAGTCGGCAGGACTATGGGATGAACGACGTCATTCCTCTGTTGCACGTCCTGGAACAAATGCTGTTAACAATGGCTGGTCAGGGTGCGGTAGACGTGGCGCACAGATCTCAACGCCACATGACCCCTGTGGGGGCAGGACAGGAAGAAGAGGAGGAGGTAGAGGAGGACATTTGTGCTCAGGAATTATTGAGTGAAATGGGTGGTTTTTCCACTCAGCGGACAGGAGTGGAGGAGCAGGAGCATCTGGTAGAGGAGGAGGAGGAGGAGACAGAGGACCCAGACGCACCGTGGCAGTATGCTGTGGAGATGGAGGCAGGGAGTCCCTCGCATTCCTTGGCACAAATGGCCCATAGCATGCTCGGTTGCTTGCGTAGCGACAGCCGAATAATAACCATCAGACAGAGGGATGACTTTTGGCTGTCCACCTTGTTGGACCCTCGCTACCGTTCCAAAATGGTGGCCTTTTTCACACCTGCTGAGAGGGAGGCCAAAATTACGTACTATAAAAACCACCTATGTAGTCAGTTGGTCTCTGCCTTTGTGCGCCAACGTCCATCCTCAGACACTGTGGGCCCTGTGCGCTCGCGTTCCGCTGCCATGGCAGCAGGGGAGGGGTGGGGTGGTAGGAGCAGTGGCAGCTCCACCAGCAGCGGCTGCCTCAGTCTGCAGTCGATGATGAGTAGCTTTCTTCACCAGCGCAGTGAGGAAACTACTAACCAGCCGCAGCAGCAGCAGCAGCATCAGGTGGACCTGGAGCAGGGACTCAAACAACAGGCTTGGGCCTACTTGGACAGCACCCTGCCAACCGAGGTAGACAATCCCCTTGACTACTGGGCAACGAAACTTGACCTTTGGCCCCAACTAGCTGAATTTGCCCTTGAAAGGCTGTCATGCCCGCCAGTAGCGTGGCATCGGAGCGCGTGTTTTAGTGCGGCAGGAGGTATTGTAACTCCGCGGAGGACACGACTGTCCACCCAAAGTGTGGAGAGACTCACGTTTGTGAAAATGAATCAGGCGTGGATTAGTCTGGATTTCAAACCACCAGTTCCTGACACAACTGACTAAATCCGCCATGAATCATGCCTCAAACATGTGCCACTTTCAGGTCTCCTCACACACTGCTGGTGTGTTTGAATTTTTTGACATAGGGTGCTGGCAGATTACGGCCCCCATAGCTGCTGCCAGGCCCCTAATCTGCCATGGGCCCCTATATACCGCCTCCTCATGCTGCTGCCAAGTCCAGAGTTCTCATGGGTCCCTGTACGGCCTCCCATTGCTGCTGTCTCCATCGCCACACTCTGCCATGTGCCACTTTCAGGTCTCCTCACACTGCTGCTGGTGTGTTGAATTTTTTGACATAGGGTGCTGGCAGATTACGGGCCTCCCATAGCTGCTGCCAGGCCCCTAATCTGCCATGGGCCCCTATATACCGCCTCCTCATGCTGCTGCCAAGTCCAGAGTCTCTCATGGGTCCCTGTACGGCCTCCCATGCTGCTGTCTCTGTCCATCGCCACACTCTGCCATGTGCCACTTTCAGGTCTCCTCACACACTGCTGGTGTGTTGAATTTTTTGACATAGGGTGCTGGCAGATTACGGGCCTCCCATAGCTGCTGCCAGGCCCCTAATCTGCCATGGGCCCCTATATACCGCCTCCTCATGCTGCTGCCAAGTCCAGAGTCTCTCATGGGTCCCTGTACGGCCTCCCATTGCTGCTGTCTCCATCGCCACACTCTGCCATGTGCCCACTTTCAGGTCTCCTCACACACTGCTGTGTGTTGAATTTTTTGACATAGGGTGCTGGCAGATTACGGGCCTCCCATAGCTGCTGCCAGGCCCCTAATCTGCCATGGGCCCCTATATACCGCCTCCTCATGCTGCTGCCAGTCCAGAGTCTCTCATGGGTCCCTGTACGGCCTCCCATTGCTGCTGTCTCCATCGCCACACTCTGCCATGTGCCACTTTCAGGTCTCCTCACACACTGCTGGTGTGTTGAATTTTTTGACATAGGGTGCTGGCAGATTACGGGCCTCCCATAGCTGCTGCCAGGCCCCTAATCTGCCATGGGCCCCTATATACCGCCTCCTCATGCTGCTGCCAAGTCCAGAGTCTCTCATGGGTCCCTGTACGGCCCCATTGCTGCTGTCTCCATCGCCACACTCTGCCATGTGCCACTTTCAGGTCTCTCAACTGCTGGTGTGTTGAATTTTTTGACATAGGGTGCTGGCAGATTACGGGCCTCCCATAGCTGCTGCCAGGCCCCTAATCTGCCATGGGCCCCTATATACCGCCTCCTCATGCTGCTGCCAAGTCCAGAGTCTCTCATGGGTCCCTGTACGGCCTCCCATTGCTGCTGTCTCCATCGCCACACTCTGCCATGTGCCACTTTCAGGTCTCCTCACACACTGCTGGTGTGTTGAATTTTTTGACATAGGGCTGGCAGATTACGGGCCTCCCATAGCTGCTGCCAGGCCCCTAATCTGCCATGGGCCCCTATATACCGCCTCCTCATGCTGCTGCCAAGTCCAGAGTCTCTCATGGGTCCCTGTACGGCCTCCCATTGCTGCTGTCTCCATCGCCACACTCTGCCATGTGCCACTTTCAGGTCTCCTCACACACTGCTGGTGTGTTGAATTTTTTGACATAGGGTGCTGGCAGATTACGGGCCTCCCATAGCTGCTGCCAGGGCCCCTAATCTGCCATGGGCCCCTATATATACCGCCTCCTCATGCTGCTGCCAAGTCCAGAGTCTCTCATGGGTCCCTGTACGGCCTCCCATTGCTGCTGTCTCCATCGCCACACTCTGCCATGTGCCACTTTCAGGTCTCCTCACACTGCTGGTGTGTTGAATTTTTTGACATAGGGTGCTGGCAGATTACGGGCCTCCCTATAGCTGCTGCCAGGCCCCTAATCTGCCATGGGCCCCTATATACCGCCTCCTCATGCTGCTGCCAAGTCCAGAGTCTCTCATGGGTCCCTGTACGGCCTCCCATTGCTGCTGTCTCCATCGCCACACTCTGCCATGTGCCACTTTCAGGTCTCCTCACACACTGCTGGTGTGTTGAATTTTTTGACATAGGGTGCTGGCAGATTACGGGCCTCCCATAGCTGCTGCCAGGCCCCTAATCTGCCATGGGCCCCTATATATACCGCCTCCTCATGCTGCTGCCAAGTCCAGAGTCTCTCATGGGTCCCTGTACGGCCTCCCATTGCTGCTGTCTCCATCGCCACACTCTGCCATGTGCCACTTTCAGGTCTCCTCACACACTGCTGGTGTGTGTTGAATTTTTTGACATAGGGTGCTGGCAGATTACGGGCCTCCCATAGCTGCTGCCAGGCCCCTAATCTGCCATGGGCCCCTATATACCGCCTCCTCATGCTGCTGCCAAGTCCAGAGTCTCTCATGGGTCCCTGTACGGCCTCCCATTGCTGCTGTCTCCATCGCCACACTCTGCCATGTGCCACTTTCAGGTCTCCTCACACACTGCTGGTGTGTTGAATTTTTTGACATAGGGTGCTGGCAGATTACGGGCCTCCCATAGCTGCTGCCAGGCCCCTAATCTGCCATGGGCCCCTATATACCGCCTCCTCTCATGCTGCTGCCAAGTCCAGAGTCTCTCATGGGTCCCTGTACGGCCTCCCATTGCTGCTGTCTCCATCGCCACACTCTGCCATGTGCCACTTTCAGGTCTCCTTCACACTGCTGGTGTGTTGAATTTTTTGACATAGGGTGCTGGCAGATTACGGGCCTCCCATAGCTGCTGCCAGGCCCCTAATCTGCCATGGGCCCCTATATACCGCCTCCTCATGCTGCTGCCAAGTCCAGAGTCTCTCATGGGTCCCTGTACGGCCTCCCATTGCTGCTGTCTCCATCGCCACACTCTGCCATGTGCCACTTTCAGGTCTCCTCACACACTGCTGGTGTGTTGAATTTTTTGACATAGGGTGCTGGCAGATTACGGGCCTCCCATAGCTGCTGCCAGGCCCCTAATCTGCCATGGGCCCCTATATACCGCCTCCTCATGCTGCTGCCAAGTCCAGAGTCTCTCATGGGTCCCTGTACGGCCTCCCATTGCTGCTGTCTCCATCGCCACACTCTGCCATGTGCCACATTCAGGTCTCTTCACACACTGCTGTGTTTTCAATTTTTTGACATAGGGTGCTGGCAGATTACGGGCCTCCCCCATAGCTGCTGCTGCCAGGCCCCTAATCTGCCATGGGCCCCTATATATACCGCCTCCTCATGCTGCTGCCAAGTCCAGAGTCTCTCATGGGTCCCTGTACGGCCTCCCATTGCTGCTGTCTCCATCGCCACACTCTGCCATGCCATGCCACTTTCAGGTCTCCTCACACACTGCTGGTGTGTTGAATTTTTTGACATAGGGTGCTGGCAGATTACGGGACCTCCCCATAGCTGCTGCCAGGCCCCTAATCTGCCATGGGCCCCTATATACCGCCTCCTCATGCTGCTGCCAAGTCCAGAGTCTCTCATGGGTCCCTATACGGCCTCCCATTGCTGCTGTCTCCATCGCCACACTCTGCCATGTGCCACTTTCAGGTCTCCTCACACACTGCTGGTGTGTTGAATTTTTTGACATAGGGTGCTGGCAGATTACGGGCCTCCCATAGCTGCTGCCAGGCCCCTAATCTGCCATGGGCCCCTATATACCTGCCTCCTCATGCTGCCTGCCAAGTCCAGAGTCTCTCATGGGTCCCTGTACGGCCTCCCATTGCTGCTGTTTCCATCGCCACACTCTGCCATGTGCCACATTCAGGTCTCTCACACTGCTGGTGTGTTGAATTTTTTGACATAGGGTGCTGGCAGATTACGGGCCTCCCATAGCTGCTGCCAGGCCCCTAATCTGCCATGGGCCCCTATATACCGCCTCCTCATGCTGCTGCCAAGTCCAGAGTCTCTCATGGGTCCCTTGTACGGCCTCCCATTGCTGCTGTCTCCATCGCCACACTCTGCCATGTGCCACTTTCAGGTCTCCTCACACACTGCTGTTGTGTTGAATTTTTTGACATAGGGTGCTGGCAGATTACGGGCCTCCCATAGCTGCTGCCAGCCCCTAATCTGCCATGGGCCCCTATATACCGCCTCCTCATGCTGCTGCCAAGTCCAGAGTCTCTCATGGGTCCCTGTACGGCCTCCCATTGCTGCTGTCTCCATCGCCACACTCTGCCATGTGCCACATTCAGGTCTCTTCACACTGCTGTGTGTTTTCAATTTTTTGACATAGGGTGCTGGCAGATTACGGGCCTCCCATAGCTGCTGCCAGGCCCCTAATCTGCCATGGGCCCCTATATACCGCCTCCTCATGCTGCTGCCAAGTCCAGAGTCTCTCATGGGTCCCTGTACGGCCTCCCATTGCTGCTGTCTCCATCGCCACACTCTGCCATGTGCCACTTTCAGGTCTCCTCACACACTGCTGTGTGTGTTGAATTTTTTGACATAGGGTGCTGGCAGATTACGGGCCTCCCATAGCTGCTGCCAGGCCCCTAATCTGCCATGGGCCCCTATATACCGCCTCCTCATGCTGCTGCCAAGTCCAGAGTCTCTCATGGGTCCCTGTACGGCCTCCCATTGCTGCTGTCTCCATCGCCACACTCTGCCATGTGCCACATTCAGGTCTCTTCACACTGCTTGTGTTATCAATTTTTTGACATAGGGTGCTGGCAGATTACGGGCCTCCCATAGCTGCTGCCAGGCCCCTAATCTGCCATGGGCCCCTATATACCGCCTCCTCATGCTGCTGCCAAGTCCAGAGTCTCTCATGGGTCCCTGTACGGCCTCCCATTGCTGCTGTCTCCATCGCCACACTCTGCCATGTGCCACTTTCAGGTCTCCTCACACACTGCTGTTGTGTTGAATTTTTTGACATAGGGTGCTGGCAGATTACGGGCCTCCCATAGCTGCTGCCAGGCCCCTAATCTGCCATGGGCCCCTATATACCGCCTCCTCATGCTGCTGCCAAGTCCAGAGTCTCTCATGGGTCCCTGTACGGCCTCCCATTGCTGCTGTCTCCATCGCCACACTCTGCCATGTGCCACTTTCAGGTCTCCTCACACACTGCTGTTGTGTTGAATTTTTTGACATAGGGTGCTGGCAGATTACGGGCCTCCCATAGCTGCTGCCAGGCCCCTAATCTGCCATGGGCCCCTATATACCACCTCCTCATGCTGCTGCCAAGTCCAGAGTCTCTCATGGGTCCCTGTACGGCCTCCCATTGCTGCTGCCAGGAGGCAGCAGGGTCGCAGCAGTGTCAGTGGAGGCAAACGGCCACGGAGTAGAACACCAGCTCCACTGCAGCCTACCACCACGGCCAGTAGTGGTGCCGGTGTGCACGGAGGAAGTAGCAGTCAGCCAGTGAGGAGTAGCGGAGGCAAAGTTTCCTACTCTGCGGGTGTGGCAATTTTTCGTCAAGCCGCCCGAGGAAGTAAACGTAGCCGTATGTCGACTATGTGGCCAGAAAGTCAAGCGTGGCCAGGGGGCCCATGTTGGGACTACAGCGTTGCGTCAGCATATGCAGCGTCGCCATTCGGTGGCCTGGGAAAACCGTGATAAAGATACGGCGGTTCTGCCTGCCCCAGCCCAGGGGTTCCATTTTGTCATAGGGTGCTGGCAGATTAAAGGCTTCCCATAGGTGCTGCCAGGCCCCAAATCTGCCATGGGCCCCCGTACCGCCTGGTCACGCTGCTGCTGGGCCCACAGTGTGACCTGGGTCCCTGTACCGCCTCCCATTGCTCCCACTCTGCCATGTGCCACTTTCAGGTCTCCTCACACTCCTGCTGGTTTCCATTTTGTCATAGGTTGCTGTATGGCCTCCCATTGCTGCTGCCTCCACCGCCACACTGTGGCTCCAAACACTGGTTTTGGCCCCGTGACTGGCCAAATGAGTGAAGTGTGCGGTGATTCTAAGATCGACGGCACTCATCTGCATGTCATACTGACTGACAGTATTATTTCTCTTCCCCAGCAGACTCCAAGGGCATTTAAATTAAAGGTACAGTGTTCTGCACTAATATTAAGTCTCTCTGAAGCCTAGAAACACCCTTTTTTAAGTTAAATTCACAGCGAATTTATTCGACTCGAATCGAATATTGTCCACGAATTCGCCGAATCAGTCGAATCGAATTTTTCATTTCTTCGCTCATCTCTAATCATATCTCCTTCTTAGTGTCTCCAGGAAAAACAAGCTTAATGTGTGTAGCCTTTCCTCATAACTGAGGTCCTCCAGCCCCCTTATTTGTTTATTGTCCTTCTCTGGACTTTCTCCAGTTCCAGCATAACCTTCCTGAGGACTGGTGACCAGAACTGGACAGCACACTTAAGATGCGGATGAACCAGAGTTTTGTAAAGTGGTGGAATTATTGATTTATCTCTTGAGTATATCCTCTTTTTAATGCATACTAATATTCTGCTGGCCTTGCTTGCTACATCTTGGCATTGCATGCTATTGCTGAGTCTGTCATCAAATAGGACCCCCAGATCCTTTTCCATCCTTGATTCCTCCAGGGGTTCTCTCCCTAGCATGTAGCTTGCATTCATATTTTTAGTGCATCAATCTACCTTTCTCTACACTGAACCTCATTTGCCATTTAGTTGCCCACCCCTCTATTTTATTGAGGTCTTCTTGTAAACTTTCAATATCTTGTTGTGAAGTTTAGCTTAGTAAAAATACAAATACAAAGATTTAACTATTTATACCAACCACTATATCGTTTATGAACAAGTTAAACAGAATTGGTCCCAGAACAGACTTTTTGCTATTAAACATATTCACTAAAAAAATTTAAATTTTGTCATAAATGTAGGTCAAAATGCACTCTGCTACATGTCTTTGCTAAAAAAAAAAAACAATACATGTAAATTAATTGGTTTACGTGAAAGTTATAGCGTTTACAAATGGCGGTATATATACTGGGATTTTTATTTTACTAGTAATGGCGGCGATCAGTGACTTATAGCGGGATATCCCCATTGACACCAATACAGTGATCAGTGCTGATAAAAAGCACTGACACTGTACTAATGACACTGGGCAGGAAGGGGTTAACATGGGTCGATCAAAAGTTAAATGTGTGCTGTTTCACTAGTGTGTTTGTGCAAAGCAGTGTGCATGAGCTGACAGGGAGGAGAACTGTTTTGTTTACAAATAGTTCTCCCCCCCATTGGAGATGCTCAGCAATCACCGGGCGCCAGAGAGTAATCACCAGCCAGGAAACGAGCTGACAGGGAGGAGAACTGTTTTGTTTACAAAAAGTTCTCCCCCCGATCGGAGATGCTTGGCAATCACCAGGCGCTGGTGAGTAATAACTAGCCGCACGCGCCCCCTACCCGGAAAAGCAAAATCACGTATAAATATATATATATGTGATTTTGTGCACCCCTGCCGCCCTGTAGCAGTATATCTGCTATAGGGCGGCGGGGAATGCGGTTAATATATTCTTCTTCTCCCTGTCACTTGTAAACAACTTTCCCTGACTATCCTTTATGGGGCCAATATTCCCTGGCTTTGCTTTTTTACTATTTATATATTAAAACATTTTGAGGGATTCTTTTTACTCTCCTCCACTATATGTCTCTCATGGTCTATTTTCGCTACCCTGATCATGATCTTACATTTTTGGTTACATTTTTTGTAATGTGGGAATGCTGACAATGTCCCTTCATCCTTACATTTTTTAAATTACAGGTTTTTCTCTTTAATGTGCATTTTTTACACTTAAATTTAGCCACACCTTAGCTCTCTTATATTTGTTACCCATTGGAATACGCTGGCTAATGCCATTAATTAAAATGTTCTTAAAGCACTTCCATTTTCCTCCATGTTTTTTGTTTCTACAATATGTTCCGATTTAATGTCATGAAGTGTGGAGCGCAGTTTGGTAAAGTTGGCTCTCTTGAAATGTCATGAACATGTCCTACCCTCATGTCTACTGTTTCTATGATTTACATTGAATGTAATTGCATTGTGATGGCTATATCTTTAGATATCCCTTACCTACATGGCCGCTATCAGCTCTGGGTTGTTTGTAATTAGTAGGTCCAGCAGAGCCTTGTTTCTAGTTGGGGCATCCACCAACTGACACATAAAAACGTCCTGCAAGACATTTAAGAAGTACCGAGCCTCTGGGGAGTGGGCAGATCCATCTGCCCTGTCAATATCTGGATAATGAAAGTCCCCCATTATGATGACATTGCCTTGCCTCGCTGCCAATTCTAACTGTGCAAGGAGATTGGTCTCCTCTTGATCCTTTAGGCTAGTGGCCTGTAGCATATACCAACTATTAACCACTTTCCCTTTGGAAGAATTACCTTCCTGGTGAGGCCATTTTTTGCTACTCAGCACTGCTCTATTTCAACTCGTAATTGCGCGGTCATGCAAATCTGTATCCAAACAAAATTTATGTCCCTTTTTTCATACAAATAGAGCTTTCTTTTGGTGGTATTTGATAACCACTGGGATTTTTATTTTTTTGTGATATAAATTAAAAAAGACCAAAAAATTTGAAAAAAAAACCCAACATTTTCTACCTTCTGTTATAAGGTAACTATCCAATAAACTCAAATATAGTCATAAATTTAGGCCAAAACGTATTCTGCTACATGTTTTTGGTAAACTACAACTATGGTATATACTGTATATTAGAATTTACGCAGCTTTTACTTTCTGACTGCCTATCACATTTCTTGAGGTGTTAAAATGCCAGGGCAGTACAACCCCCTACAAATTACTTAGATTTTATGTTCTGCAAATGATTTTTGGAATCAGCGTGACCTATTACATGAGTACGATAGTGTGCAGGCAATTTAACGCTTTCTGACTCTGGCTGGGAGGGGCACTTACAGACCCTGACACTATCTGATGTCACTAGTGGCAGTAATAAAGTGATCAGTGAAAAATTCTATATATTGAAACTGTATTAATGGCACTGGCTGGGTGACAGGGTGATCAAAGGGTTAACATAGGCAATCAGAGGGTAAATGTGCTAATCTAACATGTTTATGTAAAATGTAGTGCTTTTACCCAGTGTGGAGTTCTCTCTTTTCTTTCTGGACTGGCATAGGGGGCAGTGGGGGGCACACGCATGCGTACGCACACCTAAAAATAGAAAGCAACGTAATGTTATGTTACTTTGCCAAGAGCTGTCGCGCTCGCCTGCCCGGGCAGGCAGTTGGCAAGTAGTTGAAAAAAAAAACCTTAACAAAATGTTTAACTATTTAAAAAAAAATCTTTAATCAGAGTAGTGTAATGTTACTATAGTGACATTGCACTACTCTGGAGGGGTGATCAGGGATACTTTGTTTAAGATTATTGCTCTGCAATGCAAATCTTGCTTTGAACTGAGGATGAGCTCAAAATACAGTGTTCTGTGATTGGCTCCAGCTGGTCACATGGTATAGGGTGCTGTGATTGGCCCATGTACCATGCGAGAGCTGTGGGCCAGGAACAGAAGCAAAGCTGTTTTGAATCAGATTAATTCATAAGAGCTGCGCTATCATTGTGATCATGTGATCGCATAGTGATCACACGATCACTGGGTCCCAATTACCGGGAACTGCATTCTGCTGTGTTAGTACATGCAAAATGATGTACTGGTACTTCACTTTGCCTGTAGCTGCTGCCCATCCACCATAAAAGTACGCTGGGCGATCGGCAAGTGGTTTATTTCCCTTTTGTTTCTTCCCTTTGAAGCTCCAGCCACAGGCATTCCACCCCCTCCATTACCCTGTTAATAATGTCATCCCTTGTGTCCACTGGTAAATCATTCTTGACATACATGCCTACTCCTCCCTCTCTTTTACCTACCCTGTCTCTTCAAAACAGGGAGTACCCTTGGCCAGTCTCAAGCCAGTCATGTGTACTGTCACAGAAGGTCTCTGTTACTCCCATAATAATAATAATAATAATAAAAAAAAAAAAACAACTTTATTTTATATGGCACCTTTAAAGGTAGCTTCTCAAAGCACTTTACAAAGAAAACAAACAAGAAATACACAGGATAAAACAAAGGGAAAAAAGGATCATTAAGTGAAAGCTTGTTTAATGAAACATTTTTTAGATTTGATTTGAATTAGTTTAGAGAAGATGATTCTCTAATGTTCCTTGGAAGTGAATTCCACAGTCCAGAGCCTGGACACGATGAGAGTAGAAGCACTCCCATGCGAAAAGGGGCGCTCTGACGTTGGAACTTTTGCCAAGGCTACATGGGCTCATCGGTCGATCGTGCTCCAAGGCTTCTCTGAGATCTCCTGTGCACTATGGTTCCAATGGGGTCTTTTCCTTCCCGTCTTCCTGTAACTTTGAAAATGTATTCATTCTATTCTATGCTGTGACGCTGTTAAAAGAAGTGTTTATTTCATGCTGTGATACTCACATTACTATTAGTGTGTGTTATTATGCAGATTGTGATGACCATCAGATAAATCCTCCTGTGTGTTGTGTGATAATAAAAGTGGAGGTTTTGACAGTGGAAGAATATTGCAGTTGGATTCAGTTATTTCTTGGGGTGCTGAGTGAATGCTGCATGCCATGGCAGCTGTACACTTGGTAGAGTGTCTCTCACATGCTTAGAATAATGGTGTAAGTGTTGGCTACAGGGGCAGACTGACCATTTGAGCACTCGGGCACTGCCCGAGGGCCCGGGGGTCAGTAGGGGGCCCCATAAAATGCCCCTGGTACCTTTTTATAGGCTTTTTTGGGTGTGTTTTGAGTGTGGGCAAGGACACAGGGGCCCCATGATCCCCAATTGCCGGGGGTCCCATGAGTTGTCAGTCCACCCCTGGTTGGCTAAACATACCTGTGTATTGTGTGTGTGACTTTCTCTTGGTTTTTATGTCCAGCCTTGCATTACAGGTGAGCATGAGGATCTTAAAGTCTATACAAAACCTGATGGGTAGCCAGTATAAGGACTCCAGGATAGGGGTAATATGGTCACTTGTACC